ATGTGAGATGAGAGCTCTGGGTGCCTAGAGGTACATCAAAGAGGAAGAGTAAGGCAAGGCCAACCCTAAATGGTTTCCTAGATACCTAACAGTCTGCCATCCAGAGTTCAAACATGTGGCTGCTAAGTTTTACCTGCCTTTGCTTTACTTGGGGACAGGGTTCTCAAAGAGGGGCCCCTCCAATAGCAGCATTAGTTCCCTGGGAGCTTGATAGAAATGGATGTTCTCAGGCTCCCAGACCCACAGCCCCTGGGGCGAGTGGACCTGGGTCCTCAAGCTGTGCCTGCGGAGGCCACAAGACCCAGAGCTGGACACCTCCGCTGTGCAGACAGACAGACGGTGGCACCAGCACCAACTGAGCAGACACAAGTGGAAATTTTTCCCTAACCCAGATTATTCTGAAAGGTTAGAAATAGCAATTAGCCAATTTCAGAATTTTAATTCCACCCATCATGGACACATATTTTGGGCCGCTTCTCTTCCAACCTTCTTACCTGCAGGGAGGATGGGGGACAGGCAGGACTCGCAGATATTCTCCTCTGTAAGAGAACGCACTGGGGTTAGGCGAGGAGGCTGTCTCCGCGGCAGGTCCCACGGCTCCAAGAGGCGGTTTCGGTTCTACTCACCATCGACCAGAACGCCTTTCATTTGAGTGCGGTGCATCTTCTTCAGTAAGGACAAGGAGTCGGCGACAAGGATCTTCTTGCAGCCTTCCCGCAGCAGAATCTAATGCACACATTTGAAGAGAGAAGCCATCCTGAGTAGAAGGGCTTCTTACTGGTGCCTGAGAAAGTTCTTGTGCTCAAAATCCTCCAGAGGCGCTGATGGCTTTCTTTCCCTCATTAACCTCCTCCTCCTACCTCTGAACCTCAAGGACAGACCTGGGCAGCCATGAGCCACTCATTACCCTTCATATCTTTATTTTTTTAATGACAACACAGTGGCTCTATAGCCCTTGAAAACTGAAGGACAAATTCCAAGCTCTGGTCACACAGGCCCCATAATAACCCAGGCTACTGTTGGCTTACGGGGCTTTCTCACACTGGTTCTCTGCCTCCAGCCCTTCTGTGACTTGTTCACTCCAACCTTCCAATCTTTGCCTGGGATGGACAGTCTGTTAGTCCAAAATCACTCCTTTATTTCACAAACCGATCTATTCACTGCACGGACAGCTATAGGGTCCTCCTCATGGCCACGGCACTGGGTGGAGGTGACAAGCTGAGCAGAGAGCCAAGTGACTTATAGTGGCTGTGTGTCACAGGAGTTGCCCCTTTCAAGAGCTTTGGCTTTGAGTGACATCAGTCTCTAACGCCAAACCTACAGGTGTGTTTTGCCTGTCGAGGTTTAGATTCATGATACTGAGGAAAGGGAATGGCCAAGTGTGGTCCTCCAAAACTATGATTTCCAATGGCCTGTGTTCCCCCTAAAAGTCTCCAAGAGCTTCTATGTGTAGGAAGAGTGTATGCATATACTATGTATATGAAGGCCACACTCAGAAAAGCAGAACTGACATTCAGATTATGGCTCTGTTCCTAATGTTTCTAGTACTGATGAGTAACACATGACTAGATGTTAGCATTCTTGCATTAACTGAGACACTGCCCATGAGGTTTTCTTTAAAATTTTACTAGAAATGGATTATTTTTTGTGGTGGGGGTGGTGGTACTGGCAATTGAACCTGGAGCCTTCACACGGAGCTACATCTACATCCTGAACCCTTTGTTGATTTTTTTTGAGACAGGCTCTTGCTAAATTGCTCAGGCTGGGGTCAAACTTGTGCTTCTCCTGCTCCAGCCTCCCAGACTGCTGGATTACAGGCATGCACCACCACCACACCCAGCTGAAATGGCCTTTTTTGGATCCATTTTACAGACATTAAAATTTAACAGACATCATTAAAGTATAAAATTTAGGGAAATTTATAACCAAGCACATACATGTGCTCAACCTCCAACACCAAAATAATAAACTTAAAAATAATGTCAGTCGTAGCATCTCTGACCCGCGGGGTGCTCAGGGCATTCTGCGTGAATAATACAGGAGGACGGCACAGTCTAGACAGAAGCTACTGCGTCTGCACACTAAAAGGAGCAAAACTGCAAACGAAGAAACCATCTCCCAGCAGGATGACACTTTCTGAACAGGGACCGTCAGCTGCCTGCAGATGGTAGAAGGAAAAGTCCACAGATACAGCTAACTTTGTCACTTCCCACTTCATTTGATCAGAATCCAAAGCTCCTAGTCAAACATATATAAAAACACTAAGTTTCACTGACATGACGACAGGTGGGGTATCAAAAACGGGACATCTGTGGAGAAGTGTTCAGTCCCTCACATCCCCGCTGACCGAGACTCTTACGGTGCGGGGAGGTAAGAGACAGCTGTACGGGATTCCATGTGGCCTTGCACAGGACCCTGCATGCGCAAAGGTGTGATGATGACAGGGTCCCTGTACCCCTGTAGCAACTCCATTAGACGACACTGGCTTCACCCTAATTGCTCATATTTGGTGTTTGCCGTGAATGTCGGATGGCACAGTAGTAGTTGGCTTTAAGCCTTTCTGACCTTCCCATTCCCAAGTTCTGCTAACTTCTGTCTATAAAGGTTACCTAAGCCCCTTCCCAGGTGTGGACTGTCATCTTCCACTTGTCTCCTTCCAATCTCCACATGGTTGGCATTCTTTAGGCATTTAGGGCACATGCACTCTCCTGTGACTAAGTTTTCCAGGACCATTGCTGCTTGTACTGAGTCCTACCTTTGTTATAGTTTATATCTGGATGTCCCACCCAAGCCTCATGCCCTCAAAGGTGGGGCTCTTGAAAGGCGAGTGGATTTGAGTGCTTATAGGTGACTCACTGTTAGGGGGTGAGGTCTGGTCAGAAGAGGTGGGTCACTGGGGTGCGGCCTGGAAGGGCATATGTCCCTCCCAGGATTCTTTCACCTTCTGCTTCCTGTCCACACGGGCCTCAGCCATGCTGCCCTGCCTCGGAGCCAGCAGAACATGGACTGAAACTTCTGCAAACTGTGAGCCAAAATAAACCTGTCTTCTAAGTTGTGGGTGTTAGGTATTGTGTCCCAGTGGCAAGGAAAGTAACCAGGACGACCTTCCATTATTTGGTGCTATTTTTCTTTTCAATGACATGCAATATTAAAAAGAAAAATACTCAAATTCCTTCCATCTAGATTTAACCAACCTGTTACTTTCTTTCCTTTGTGTTTCAGATCTGCTTATTCCAGAAAACAAAGTATTGTTGACCCCTTCTTGCACTCCAGTTCCTTCTGCTACCTTACAAGTACAACTCCGACTATGTTTAGGGTGCATCCAACTAAAATGTGCACGTGGCAGCTGCTCATCATGTAACTTCTGGTCATGAAATCAACATTTGGCCTGGGAAGCTGCCCCTTCCAAATTAAGAAAAAAAAAAAAGCAAAGCTTCATTAGAAAAAAAGCTTTTTGCTTCCGTATTTTCTTGTCTGGAATGTGGTTGAGAGGTATGGAGATAAAGCAGTCATCCTGTGACCAAGAGGTACCCACTCTAAGGGATGGTCTTCCACTGACAGATATTTAGGCCGTTTCCAGTATAAGGCTGCTAGGGCGACAGGTCCTCATAATGTTGTTATGCACATGTTTTTGTGGAACTGCTTTCCATGTCTTATATAAATACCATACCTGCTATGTGGTAGGTACATGTTTAATTTTTTAAGTAACTGTAAGTTTCTCAAAGTCATTATACTATACTGTTTTACATTCTGACATATTAAGTTTTAATCTCTGATAAACCTACCTTCCTTACTCATTTTAGATAATTTTAGTATTTTACTTTTTATATAAATTCTAAGACTAGATGATGCTTTAGAATCAATAATATTTGTGATATGAATGACTTTTAGCAATTGAATGGTGATACTCAAACTGCTAATAATTTGTGGGTCTTTACAGCTGCGTTAAAGGGCCATATTCTCTCCTACTGCCCTCATGTAATGCTGGTGTTAAGTTTGTAAGTGCCCCACGAAGAACAGAGGAGTTTTTCATCCTAACAGAGGAAAACTGCATGTAAACAGGGGTTGCTTGTTTCTTTAAAGGTCTGATAAGACTTGTCTCTAAAATTATCTATGGAATAGGCTTTTGCTGTGCCTGTACATTCTGACCACTCATTCTGTTTCTTTAATGACTACAGATCTGTTCTGTTTGTTCTTGGTAACTTATATTTTCCTAGATAGTTGTTAATCTCTTCTGGGTTTTCAAAGAACCTGCTATGAGCTTGTATTCTTTACCTACTTCAGGTGTTGAAAACTTAAGTTTGTAAAGGCTTTCTTTTTTAAGGGTGTGCTGGTTATTTCCCTGTATCTTTTTCTCAGACTTCTTAGAATTTGCCAAAACCTTTTGTGCTGGTTTCAGGATATCTGGAGACTGCAGAAGCTTCTAAAGAGGTGGTTTTAGGACTGCACCTTTTTCTCTACCCACCTCCCCCAAAGTAATTTTTGTACTCCAAAGTACACTTATTGCTCTTTCAAAGTTAAAAGTGATTTTTACCCAGCAAAACTGTTCTTGCCTGTTTCCTCCTGATTTACACTGGTATCCTATAATGTGTGTTGGGTGGCCTCTGATACTGCTTTCAGAGATTAAAATCAGCTGGGAACATCTTGTAACCTAGAAAATGACTCCACTTCGTAAATAAGACCACCATTCCTAACCCTTGCTTTGTAATCCTCCTTACCGCCTATGAGAATTTCGCTGAAGATAAACCAGTCTTTCTTCCCTAACTTCATAATGATACTAATTTTCAGCTCGAAAATATTTGTGGGCATTGCTTAGAAAGTGCAGTGTTATCTTTGAGATGCATTTTCTTTATGATCTTTCCTGTTTTCCCAAGATTACCCATATTGATGGAGCAACTTCCTTCCTCCCACAGACTTAACTACTCGTTTCTCCCCAGAGTTCTGTTTTTCTAAATTCTGTATTCTATTAACATAACCTTTGTTTCCTCTTCAAAATTCAGTTTGCTACTTAGACAGCTGTTGAAAACCAACCTGAGACTTCAGATTCATTCTAATTTCCTACAGCTTACCGTCATTGATAATTCCGACCAAGAGTAAAACATCAGACTATACTGACACTTCATAAAGCAACGGAAGACTACATACACATCAATGAGGTCACTGTTGTTCATTACGGACATCTGGCGTTGGCAAAATGTTATCAAAAACTGCTAAGTTTCTGAAATTTTTATTTGAAAAGAGTCTTCGAATATTGAGGTTTTTGCTGTTGCTGAGCTGAAACTGCAATGCTCTTCATCAGAACTGCAAATGACGGGCTGCTCCCTGGCTTTGCAAGCCCCACTGTGTTATAAAGACCTGGTCCAAGCCTCCTCGCTCTTTTCCAGCCCTTCCTCTAGGCTACATACCATGGCACTTAAATTCTACTTCCAACAGCTTTGCTTTTGATTTGACACTATGATCAAAGCTGATAAACTTCTGAAGTAAGACAGGAAAGACAGACTTTTATCAAAAGCAATTTTATAAACACAACTATATGCAAATTTACAACAGCAAAAAGTGTGCAGGTAGGCCAGGGATTTAGCTCAGTGATTCCACTGCCTGCCTTGCAAGCACAAGGTCCTGAGTTTGATCCCTGGTACCAAAAAAAGAAAAAACAAGTGTGCATATACCAAGCTGACTAAAGAAATTACACTGGGTTGTGACAGGCCACCTGTGTCACCTAACATCTGCGATGAGGCCAAACTGAAATCACGTAAAAGGAAAAAATATCCATTTGGTCTTCAAAGTTTATTTTAATGATTTATGAGTTAAAAACTATCTTTTAGGGGGAGAAAAAGCTTATATACTGTAAGCGAAAAAAACTGATGTGGGTCCAAAAAGCATAGAAGAAAGATGTCACTATTTTCTCTTAATTTGTCGCTGGATTTCAAAGAGACATGGGAAACAAGAAATGTGGGGACTGTAGCAAATGTAAGTACAGGAAAATAACTGGTAGGCATGGAGCCATCTGGAGTGAGTTAGTGGAGGGAAGAAGCTGGAGAGTGCTGAGGACCACACTCCGATTTCCAGCAGGCTCGGCTCACAGAGGGTTCTACCAAGCGCCAGCTCCTCTGCTCCCCTTGCCTTTCCCGGAGCAAGCTGAGACGTGTTTGCCATTTCCCCCAAGAAGGGTCACCCACAAGGAATCAGCCCTAATCAGCAGATCGTTCTGAAAAGATTGCTTGTGGCTATGAGAGAAAATAGAGTCCTGGATGGGAAAGTCAGGAGACTCGGCCAAAGGACGTGGGTTCAAACCTACATCTTCACTGTCCTAGACTGCAAGTCATTTCACCTTTCCGAGCCTCAGCCCTGCACTCTGAAAGGCAGGTGTCAGCTCCTACAGGATGGCCTGTCAGGTAAGACAGTCAGAAGGAGAGTGTTTAAAGACAGGTGCTGAGGGGAAACATCTCTGCAACAGAAAAGGATATGCTGAATAAGACAGATGCTTACTTTATAGAAATTTTAAAATAGAAAATATAAATATACTAAAAATAGGAAAAAACTAATGACACAAATAACTTGGGAACTGGTCAGTGTATTGGAAAAACTAAAGCACCGTTTTATATATAGCTGGGGGAACAATTTGTATCGAAGTTATTTGTCTTGAAGTCAAGCCTACAAACATCTGAGGTTTATAAAGTAAAATACAGGTTATTTTCTTCTTACTGATTCATGAACTTTTAATAATCTGTTGCCTAATTACATTAATAAGGTAACAAGCCTTAATAAATTAAACATTGACAATGTGGCTGAATATCCATTTCCCTCAACTATGTCAGAGGCTTTTAACATGTGTCCTGAGGCTGTACTTTAGCTAGAGAGAGCTGCTGGGGTATTGAAACTAGCTGTTTGAATTTTTTTCCAAAAACTTCCTCTACTTCTTTTTCTAATTTGAAATGATCTCCCAAAGCATTTTTGGTGCTCAAATACATTGAAAACGCTGCATATTCAATTGCATATCTCCCCCAATAGATTCCCAGTGCACATTAGCCAAAAAATGGTGCCACGAAGCTCTGTGGTATCATTTCTCTAACATCTGACCTGCATCTCTGTTTCCTGAATGGTTCTTAATATCCACTGGGGTTGCTGCCCATCCCTCCACATTCTGGGAACTGCAACATTTCCCCTCAAATGAGGGATGAGGAGGGAGTGCCAATTTTTTGTGCTGAGAACATGAAAAAATCAACTACAGTTTTATGAAACAAAGACTAAAATGAGTGGAATCCTTTGGAAACTGCAAAGGCTCTGCTGAGAGATGTAAGCTAATTTTACAATGATGCCTAATCAGTTGCCTAGAGAGAGAAAATAAATGGCCACTAATGAAAAAGAGCTGCCTTTCCCACAAGGGGAAAAAAAAAAATCTAATCTCTTACTTCATCCATGAGAAGGAACCAGCCTGGAATTTCTGAAACAACCTGCCCCGCATACCACACTCTCTCAGCAGCCTCCACCAAGGCCACTGAGCCCACTGGGGACAACAGGTGTGGCAGTTTCCAAGGCTCTGCCACCTTCCTTCTGGGTCTCTTCTTCCCCTGAGAAGCCACTTCCTTGCTGAGGGACTACAGGCAGCAAGGGCTCTTTGAACCCCCTGGGTACATAATTCTCAGCCTTTTTACCACACTACCCACCTGCATGCTTACACAGGATAAGGCAAGGCTCTCAGTATATTGTAAACTATAATTAACAGGATAAAATATTGATTTAGCAGCTGTTTGAGTGGATTTTTATGTTAGACATTCATTTTGCATCTAATAATAATTTTATTTTTATTCCCAGCCAACTCAGAACTATGCCGTTTGTTCATTAACAATGAGTGAGCAGTGGGACCGTGGTGGTGAGCGGACTTCTTGGGACTAAGGGCCCAGAGAGGGGGATTTATGGGTAGTCTCGAAAGCACCAAAACGGCACCTTTCATCCCAGGGGCTAAGCTCTGTGGACATCAAATGTGGATCTGAAATTTTCAGCATATCTGGGGGGCACACCCAGAGGTAAGGGCCAGCAAGGCACAGTTTGTGAACTCACTCGTGCCCAGGGTTGACTAGGGCAGGGCACTTTTAACCACTCTCACCAAGTGCAATTCCAAGCCTAGCTGGCTTCCCAGCCTGGATCACCATTCTGTTCTGCATTCCTAGGGTGCTGCCCAAAATGCAGACCCCCTCTGCCATCTCTCCCCACTCACCACCTCGTTCTTCCCTTTCTCATTCTCCATCCCATAACCTCTGTCCTGGGCCATCTGTGGCCCTCCAGACCCCACTGGAAATGAGCCCTGCACACCACTAAGCTCTCTGCCCAACAGCTCCCCCATTGCTCTGGCTCAGCTGAACTCCAGTTTCTCCCCCAGTGACCCCTTCCCCAACAACACTCCTGAGCGAGGTCTGACTGCTCCAGATGGACCTGCAGGGAAATCCTCTCCTGGACAGCTGTGTAGCTCAGTGGCAGCACAGCCCCACGGACTGCAGGGGCAACACTGCAGGTCCCTGAGGCCCAGCCCTGTTTCCTGACTAATCCGCTCCAATGACTGCTCCCCTCATCTAACTTTTCAGAAGATATTAATGCTACATGATGATGGGATTTATTTGGGGAAGCTGGCACATGCAATTAACATATCTTAATCAGTTTCAATGCCCTAACCTCCCTCTCCACAACTCTATCTTCTGGTTTCCTGTCTTCTCTCCTTCATTTTAATTACTTATTTTTTAGATTTCTCATATAACCGAAACATTTGATAGTATTTAACTTTCTGAGTCTGATACTTTCTGGCTAATTTCACACATGATGGTTTCTAGTTCCAGACAGTCTCCTGCAAATGACATGATTTCATTCTTCTTTATGCTCAAGTAATATTCCATTGTGTATATATTTGAACATGTCCACTCCAGCTCTGGGCATTTTCACGTTAACAGTATTACACTCCCTGGTGACTACTCCTTGTCCCTCCAGCTCTGCCATTCCTTTACAGCCCTGTTGTTTACACGCCACTGATCTTCCCTCAGTCTCTTCTTCTTTTCACCTGGCCTTACCTCAGACGTTACTTTGAGTTCAGCAGGCAGCCCTTGACTCTGTACCCTCCACTGTGACTACTGGTCCAGTAAGTTTTCAAACAACACTCATCTTACAACCTTACCTTTTGGCTTTACCTGCAAGATCATGTTGTGTCCAGGAAAGCAATTTCATCCATTATGATAGAAACTAATTTTCAAGTGAATCAGAGGAAACACAGTCTAAATTTTTAAGGAAGTATGTTTTAAACAGTTTCAAGCTGTATGGAAACTACCAGCACCCTGAATGACAGGAATTGCTCAGATGCTCTGTAATTAACATATGAACTATGAGAGTAATGGGTTCCATTTTTCTTATCACAAATTCTAAATTAAGAGAATAATAAAATTGTACCATTCTAGCAAAACAGACAAAGGTTAAATAGAATCCATTATCATGTTTCACACAATGGATTACTGAATGGCATAAACAAAAATTATTAAACTATTTGAAAAATTATTTATTCTCCCTGAAGACATTTGAGTGGTTTGATGCAGCAGCCCCAGCGGTTCTCATACCCTCCTTGACATCATGCTGCATATCCCATACTAAGAAGAACACCTGCTCCACACACTAATACAGTCTGGAGATGGTTTAGTAATCAGATGGGTTCCTCAAGGGGTGATGTTTCTACTTTTCTTTTTTGTGTATGTGATCCTGAGGACTGAACCCAGGACTTTAACCCTGAGCTACATCCCAACCCTTTTTTTTAACTTTTTTTAGGTAGGGTCTCACTAAGTTGCCCAGGCTGGGCTTGAACCTGGGATCCTTCTATCTTAGCTTCCTACAGTGCCAGGATTACAGATGTGCACCACTGGGCTCAGCTCTAGTTTCCTGAATGGTTTTCCAAATAGGTGAACCTAAGTAAACTGTATCAAATTGAAAGGGTCTAATAACAAATCTTAGACTTATTCAAGAGTGAGTTATTTAGGTCAGCATGCTTTTTTGTCCAAGATAAGACACTTACCTGCAAATTGTAGTCTTGGAGAATTTTTACCAATGAATCTCTCAGACTGGGAATCTCCATTCCTTCCTTAATTCGGTGAATCAGCAGAATGGGGTCAACATGTGTACCAATGTTGTTTAACAAGCCAGTAATAAATGCTGCAAAATAGCACAGAAGACAACTGATGTATAAGTGATGTTATAATACACTTTATTTGTAAGTAACTTGCATATAATGCACTTTTCCATCAAAAACTAACTTTAAAAAATGTTAAAACTGTGAGAGTTAAGTTCCCTCAAGACATAAAGGAGAAACTGAGAACAGTTTAAAAACAGGAGAAAAAATGATCACTTTCATTCAAAATATAGTTTGTACTATCAAAAAGAAACAACTAATATTTACTGGGAACTCCCTGGGGTTCACCTATTATATTCTTCTCTCCAGTATTTTCCAAGGTAGGATTGTTATGTGTCCCCATTTTACAGATAGGGGAGATGGGATGTCTGATTAACCCAGTCACAAAGCTAGCAAGCAATGAGCCCACATTCAAAACCAGGCCATACCCGTGTCCATTTGGTGTATTAGGAATCTTAAATCTTCATTATGCCTAATTACATTCCTTGTATTTCAAAAGATTAGGTCATTGGAGCCAATTTCAGATGAACGTATTTGAACATGAAGCCTTCCTACCAAAGGGAGGGAGAGGAGACTCTAAACCACCACTGTTAGCCTGTCAATCATTTCTGCATCTTCAAAAGAGGCCTTGGGTTACCGCTGGGTAACTGCTTTTGTTTCTAAAATTATAGCTCAATGCAAATGGTAAACCAGAGGGCCAACAAATATAAACTCCTGGGGCTGCACTGATAAAATGGGGCAGGAAAGAGAGAGTAAAGGCTGTATTGGAAACATTCAAATACGTTTCCATAATGACAGACTGGTGAGAGCTATATAATTTCAAAATAAATACTGGTATACAAATGAAAAACAAAACCAAGCTAACCCAATACAGGTGACATTCATTCAATGTGGCTGTAATAGACAATTTGTCTCATGGGGCACAATTAATAAGCTGTGTACCCACATGCTCTGTGTCACACTCAGTGCAGTGAGGAGACATCAGCCCTTTCTGCCCAGGAGAGGGACAAGAATCCTTACAACAGGCCTGCCCTACTTTTATTGTAGATACTTCACTATATTTTTCTTTTTTGGTCCCAGGGATTGAACTCAGGACCTTTTGCTTGTGAGGCAGGCGCCGAGAACCACTGAGCTAAATCTTACTCTATATGTAACTGGCCATATTGAGAAGAAACATGATCACAGATGGCTTCTCTGCTTACGTGGTTTGTCGATGGAATATAAAATGAGATCCTCCCAGAGTTCTCCATCATCTTGCTCCTTGGCGAATTCAATTGCTTTATCCACATCATGTAACTCCTCCATGATCATCTTCAGGGCACTTCGGCTGTTGCCCATCCGGCCTAGGTGGGGGAGCAAGTGAGAAAGGAGTCCTTTATTTTAAAAACAAATAGCTTCTCTTATACCTTGCTCACAGTTTAGAAGCTAAAGCAAAAGCACATTTTCTTATGTGTTGCATTTACTATGTGTAGCATAGTGAGGTAAGTATTTCCTATTTAGTGGATGTTCACTTTGTGCAGAGCACTCATGTAAGTTTCTTATATGAACTGCAACGTTCAGGAATCCCTGGAATCCTATGAGGGATGTTCTACTAACGCCACCACCTTATACAAGAGTTAACAAAAATGTTAGTTACTTGCCACGACCTACTAACAGGTAAAGCTGGTCTGTGAGCCCAGGTCTGCTAGATTCTGTCTTCCCTCCCACACACCTGTGTTTCCTTTGGATGTTAGCATCTTCACATTTGGTATGGTTAAGACTTTTACAGGCCTAGAAAATCATTCTGCCTCTCTAAGGTGGCTTTGCATGTCCCTCTTCTGATACAACTGCAGACTCAATTATCCGTGGGCTCTCTCATTTCTTCTTCCAAGTTCAGGGGAATGCCTGGCAACACCCTTCATGAGACAAATTATTTACAACCTATGCTTCTATTAGCCAGTTATCTTTACACACTTTGCTCATAGATCTACTGGCATTTCAATACTTTTAAATAATTTCCATGAGCTTTTATCATGGTTCATGCTTTAGAAAGCCTGCTGTGGGCTGTCACCTTATCCCTGTCTCCTGTTGTACGGGGCTGGGAAAGGATCCTGAATCCTCCTCACTGTGGGTTACCACTCTCAAGTAAACAGCTGGCTTGTGGAAAAAAAAAAGGACACCGCCCTTGGTATCCCTTTGGTAGCACTGTGTCCCAGACAGCTTATGTTTTTTAAAAAGTTATTTACGTGTACAGGATTTAAAAATGTTTATAAAACCAGACATAGCTATCTTTATAAGTCTGCTTCTAAGGCAGTATTGCATGACAAATAATCCAGCAGATTACTTCTTGCAAACAGTGTTCCCCCAAGAAATAAATGGCTGAACTACTTGAGGTGGTATATCAGAACCCCAATAATATGCTCAAGTAACTAAATGCAGCCCCATTTAACTAAATGCACCTTTTTCCTAAGGTAAATAGGTCCCACAGTTGGATAGTCCCTGGTCTGTGGCTAAGCAACCATACGCTGCATGTGCATAAGTGGGAAAAGAAGATCTGGAAAATTTTCAACAGAGGCCAAAGGAGCCAATGACAGTGTTGTATAAGAGAAGGTGTGACATGGGACAACCCTAGTGGGGAAGTGACACTGGAGAAACAGCTCACAAAAACTTTCTGCTGTATGTCACTAATAACCTGGTTTCCTTATGACATCCTCAGGAAATCCTGCATTGCTCTCTGATGCACTGTGGTCGAATGTGAAAAGGAGGTCTGGGTCTTGCAATGCTTGGTCCAGAAACTATGACATGTGTTGGGGCAGGAACCAGAAGACCAGAGACAACTAGTGACGACATTGTATTAAAAAGTTGTCTCTCTTCAAAACTTCACATTTAATTCCCTTTCCTCCGGTTATGTATGGTGTGAGTTTTGAAAATGAAGATTATTTTCTACCAATATGAAGGTACTGTAAACTGATTAGAATATTTAAAACACTAGTTCTAATCTGTCATGTGATAGTTTTATTTTGTTTCTTGTGTTTATTACACATTACTAATACATTCTTTCAACACTACTCAAAAACCCTTCTCTATTGTGCTGTGAAATGTTTTTCACATATTAATCTTTTTCATATGTTAAACTCTTTTCACATTTGAAACTCTTATACAAAATGGGCTTGAAATTGTGTTACTTTATACTAAAACCTACATCAGTCCTTACACAATCCGCATCATTTCTTTGTTTACGGGGACCAAAATTAAAAATAAAGCTACTTACTTAGAAGATAAACAGTTTCTTCTACAAAGTTTCTCTGTTGACAGATTTCAAGAGCCTTCAAATGAAGCAAGGTAAAAATGTCACTATGGGCTACCAGACAAGAACAAATATTGATAGAGTCACTTAACAAGCTTGAAAATGTGTTTCCATGCTTTCCTTTAACAACAAAAGCAAGCAAAAAGGATAAATCTCCGTGGCTCTTGCTGCTAGCCATACTCATTTACCTCACAGAGAATTCCTGAACCCCACACACTTTAACTGATAAGGTACTTACAGCAACAAAGAACACATTAGATGATCAAAGGCAGAAAATAAGATGCTGAGAGGAAGTGCTTTTCCTGCTCTGCTTTCTCTTCATATTACTTTAACTTTAGAGCATTGCTTTCCATCAAATGTAGTCATTTGTTTAAAATGTTTCCTTCCATTACAACATAAGCTCCAAGAAAGGAATGCTGTTCACAGTAACATTTTCCTGATACTGAGCAGGACCATCTGCTCTGTAAACTTAAGTTGCATGCATGCATGAGTGAATGAATAAGTCAATCAATCAATCATTCAATCTACTGGGAATATTTCTGTTGCCAGCTCATAGGGTGTGAGAACACTGTTCGTGGATCTTTGAAAATCAACAGGGAAGATGTATCTGATCATCACGAAGGATCAAAAAAGAAGATCCAGTAAAGAAATGAGGACTAGGCCGATGACAGTTTTCCCGTGGATGTAAGAGAGGGCACCTCATGTGTTGATAACTCAGTACCTCCAAACAAACTGATGCTCATTTACTATGTGCTCTGTGCTAGAGTGTCAAGTTACACAGATACGAAAGTGACATCAATAATAAAAATAGGGATGATGACAGGTGAGTAGAGAACAAGAGGAGGCACAGAGGAGGAGCAGAGGCAGACTGAGTCCACCCAGGGGCAGCAGGGAGGGTGACAGAGATGTGACCACACATTGTTCCACAATCAGCAGAACATGAGGGACGACACAGAGAAGGGAAATGATTGTCTTGCAAGAAGCTCCAGAGGAGAGATGGCACCTGAATTGGATGCTGTCCCACAAGCACAGAGGACCTTGCAGCCCCTCTACATGACTTCTCAGGGCTAAGTATCTTCACAGTGAGCCACAGCTCCACACTGCGTTCCCAAACAGCGGCTTGATCCTAAGCCTTCCCTCTTCCTGCCTACGGGACACAGCTTCATCGCCAGCCTCCATCATGCAGCAACTCACTGAATTTCCCTTTGCTGGGAATGCGTGCACGCTGAGCCTATGCTTTGCCTCATGCCTGGCCCACAGCAGGTGTGCAATAAATCTTTTTTTTAATGAAGGGTCAGTAAAGGTTTCCAGAGCAAGGTGCCTATTACATATTGAGGAGTAGTCATTTAAAAACATCTAGCCAAGATGGTTTTAAAAACAAGAATCAAAAAGAACAGCTCAAGTTAATTAGCTCTGCTCAGCGATCTATCTTGGGAAATAACAGCAGGAACTGATTTTGATATTTTGATTTTTGACTTAAAATTCTTCCTGGAGGCTATATATTTTAAACTAGCTATAGGGCAGGAAAAAGGCTGATCACAGAGATCAGTGTAGCAAAAAAAAGGGAAAAAGAAAAGCAAGCATCACTGTAATTTAGAATTGGAAGGAAACCAGGAACGTTTTACAGTCCACACATCATTTAGATTAGAAGGAATAACTGAAGGTCCCAAGGAGGAAGAAACACATCATTTGATGACTTTACAAGATCCCTTTAAACATCAGGTGGTAGAAACAGAATGAAGAGACCCCTACAGAATGGGAAAAATTTTTTTCCAGGTACTGCTCAAAGAACTGCTATCTAGAATATATAAAGGACTCAAAAAATGGGCATCTGAAATGAACAGACATTTCTCAGATGAACAAGTGCCAAAAGCCAATAAATACATTAAAAAATGTTCAACACTGTTGGCCATTCAGAAATGCAAATTAACATTCAGTTTCCATCTTAAGAAAGAACAGCTATCTTCAAGAAATCTACCAATAACATGCTGAAGAGGCTGCAGGGGAAAAAGGAACCCTTCTTCATTGCTGGTGGGAATGTAAACTGGCACAATCCTATGGAAAACAGAATGGAGATTCCTCAAAAGACTAAAACTAGAAATTCCTTTTGACCCAGCTATTCCCCTTCCAGTTATCTGCCCAAAATACTTAAAGACATCATGTCACAGTGATGTATGCATGTCCATGTTTATAGCAGCACAATTCATAATAGCTAAGCCTTGGAAGCAGCCTATATGTCCATCAACAGATGAATGGGTAAAGAAAATGTGGTATTTATACACAATGGAGTTCTACTCTGCCATAGAAAAGGATAAACTAGTCATTGGTAAGAAAATGGATGCATCTTGAGACTACAATGTTAAGTAAAGTAAATAAGACACACAAGCTTAAATATCTCAGTTTCTCTTATATAAGAAATCTAATATATAAAGTGCAAAATAAAGACAGACAATAGGAAAAAAGAGAAAGTTATTGTTACCCAGCATGGACAATGTATCCTAAAGTGTACCTTTAGTATAATTGTCTTATGTGTTTTTATGTTTTTTTGGTCTATTAGTCTGGCTCTTAATCTGTTTTATGATAATTCAACAAGGACTTATAAAATAAATGGATCTGATACTGGCAAAAATTTTTCAAAACAGGGATTGAAAAAAAGGAACTGAATGTTAGGTAATGTACCAGTTCCCACAATGCACATAATCATGATGTACTGCAAATATGCACTATTAAAAATAAAAAAAATTTTAAAAACTTAAAATTAGGTGGCAGAGATAGCTGTCCCCCAATACCCTGTTCCCTTTTCTCCCATATAATAGATCTGAGGCAGGTGTGCGACTTGAGAAACACAAATCCATCTCAAAGCCGCCCCAGCGGAGGGGAGCTGAGTGACCAGAGTCCAAAGAGCCGTGGGAGAGAACAGGGCAGCCTCTGGCTTCCCAATGGTAGTCAGTGCATTCAGAAACAGGTCGGCGCCACCACAGGCCTTGAGGCCAAGCTCACACGAGGTGAGGGAGGGAGCGAGACAGGGAGCCATCTCTCTGACCTGGGGGCAGGCCACCCTCCTCTCCACGAGGCCAAGAGCTACTCGGATGGCGGATCGGATGCTCTGCTGAGCTTCAATCCTCAGCGCTCCCACTTGGAGCTGAACCCAGTCCCAGCTCACCCCAAGGCAGAACTCCTTTGTCCAAAGGGATGCAAGACTGACCTCCCTCTGCTCTCTCACTTGCCCTCATCACTGCAAATGCTGGCAGTGTCTTACCGAGGCTACCCTGCTGCAGAGACCTTAGTGCAGACACAGGAAAGGCATGCGGAAGCAACACTCTGGGAGGCTGAGGCAGGAAGATTGCAGGTTTCTCAGCCTGGGCAACTTTGTGAGACTGTGTCTCAAAATAAAAAATTTTAAAAGGGTGTGGGGGGGTGCACCTCACTGCAAAAGCCTTAGGTACAAAGGCCCTGGGTTCAATCCACAGTACTGCAAACAAACAAACACCCTAAAACCAAAACCAAAAGCAAACAAAAAAAAGGAAAGAACAAAAAAATTGACCTGATGTCAGAGGACCTGGGTTATAGCTTAACATGGGGGACTGTGTCACAGATAAACAGAACACTGACACAACTAGACAGGACGAATGTATACAGATAGTCTGAGTAACAATGAGTATACTGCTTAAAATGATTGTTATTAAAGGTATCCACGAATCACTTTTATACCACTTAAAAATGCAAAGAGCTGCCCCCTCTTCCCGGGCACAGGTGAATGCTGGAGAACACACTTGCCTCAAAGCAGCAAAGAGTCTGCAGTCTGGAGCCTCATCAGACTTGCCGCTTACCCCTTAAATGCAGCTGTTTAAATTTACACTGATTAAAATTAAATGAAAATTCAGGTCCTGCACCAGCCACACTTCAAATACTCAGCTGTGATATGTGGGCAGTGGCGGCCCCGCTGAAGAGAGCAGGTTTCTGTGGAGCACTGTACGGGACGCTGACGAGGGCAGCTCTCCTAGGGCCTAACCGACGCGAGACCCCGGGAAGGGACTGCAGGAAGAGGGGGCATCATCTGGTGCACAGGGAGTGGGAGGCTCCAAAATCTGAATTTTATAGGTTATTAAATGTTTTATGAGTGGATTCTAACAGGAGTTTAGATTATCCCCCTCACAGCTGAGGTTGAATAAAGTATACAAATGAAATATTTCTAGTGCACAGAATTTTTCTGTTATTGACACATTGACATGAATGCGGCATAAAAGTGTGATTCTTTATTTTAGACTCCTGAATGTTCCTGGACCACAGTGCTTTCTCTAGAGGAAAGGAGAGGGAGGGCTGGGGATGTAGCTCAGCACACTGCTCCCGCCTGGCAAGCACCAGGTCCTGAGTTTGACTCCTGGTACCAGAAAATAAAGAGGAGGGGATCTGAGATTTTTAAAGCAGACACACACACATATACACACAGAAAAAGTATGGTGGTAAAAACAAAAGTGAAAAAGCAGAATGACAGAGGTTGAACAAAAAAATGATGCTAAACTACTACTTTAACACTCCTTTCCCTGATTTAGTATTAAGGTAAGAGAGAAATCTGAGGGTAGCTAACAAATGCCTTTCAACTCTAAATTAAAGAATGATTTCTACCTAATCTCAACCCTGTCACCTTTGATCCAATCTTTACATTTTTTTTTTAACTTAATCTATGAATTTTGCCTCTCCCAACTCCATTCCTCTGAACTTACAAACACTGCCACCTTGTGAGTGCTGTGAGGTATGAGACATTCAGGGACAAATCCGCCAAAGCTAAAGAGCTGATGCCCTCCCTTCACTACTCTGAGGCACCATCGAATCAGATTTGTAAAATGCGGACCAGTGTTTGATCACATCTGGAAATTACAGAAAAAATACGCATTAGCGGTTTAAAAAAACTATTTTTGATGCTTCCAATAAGAAATGGCTTAGTTGTTATTATTTTAATTAACATTTTAAACCCTAAAAACACTTCAGACCACAGTGGAAAGACTCCTGCTATTACTTGGGCTGACTGAGTCCCTAGACCCTAGGTTTAACCTTTGCTCCAGCTAAGCCCGCTGTAGAAATGTGTGAGCTCCTCACTAAAACCTCACTCGCCAGGACTCCATGCTCATCTCTGGCCTGGCTGAGCTGCCTGCTTCCCTACAGGGATGCAAGAGCAGAGGCAGAAGACAAGCAGAACAAACGGCTCCTCTTCTGTCCCACACCAGTGGGTGGCCCCAGTCTTACCTTCTCCAGTGGGCAGTGGGTGCTGTCTCGGAGAAAGGGCAGCAAGTTGGGCCGATCATACTCTGCGTAGAGACTGATCTGCTTCTCATGGTAGCGCTGCCCCTTGTGATGGTCTCTCTTGAAGAGTTTGTGCAAATACTGCATGGAACATAGGTAAGCGGTGAGGAATGAAATAAGAAAAGTGCAATGTCTGCTCCACAATGCCACAATCAGTTGTGAATGGCTCCCATGGAGAGGGGGACAAGAGGTGGGCACAGAAAACCTCCAGATGGTGAAGGAACAGGAAGGAGGAGCCCTCTTGGACAGGAAGAAGATTCCCAAGGGACCTGGCTTTGCTACCAACTGGGTGACCTCAGGCAAGTCACTACCCTCTCTGGGATGCAGTTTCTTTACCTACAGAAGTGCTGAGTTGTGGTGAGGGTTAAATGAGTTACCACCTATAAATCACACCAAGCCATGCCTGGGCGACACCAGCTGTTATTATCATATCTTTGCCACCTTGGAAGTAAAATGCTGGATGAGAGGTCTTCCTACATGACAACAATTCTCTTCTTTCATGTAAAAGGGAGTAGAGTCAGAGGACCAGAGTACGTTCTTCAGAACCCCAGTGATAGGAGCTGGATTGTCATACACTCTCCATCTCCCTTTTTGGATCTTAGATCTGTGTTTGTGATAAAATGCTGCCTATATTGGTGACATCAGAAAAACACACCAAAACAAGTAAAAATCAAGAATACCAGGGTTCTGACTAATTTCCAAAACTGACTCCTAACCCTAACAGAAAAAGTTAGAGAACTCCAAAGAAAGCAAACACTTTCTACTTATAGGTAAGATGAAGTCTATCAATACAGTGTAGTGCTCAGAAATTAATGTCGAAGTTCAGTGTTGAAGGTTAAATGTAAAGAAAAGGCCCACAGTCCAGTGGAGGCAGCCAGGTGGATGGTACAGGACAGACACAGAGGGTCAGGCTGGCCCTGACGCCATGACTGCAGTTGGATATGTGCAGCTGTATGCACTGTGACAAACGCATGCACCTCAGGAACCCACTCCTTGGCTACCTGTTCACATCTCCCTGAGGCAGGAAAGTAACAGGAGGGAACTCATCTGCTGGTGAGGACCACCAACCACTGGCAATCCACTGGGCCTGGGCTCAGTGTGTAGGCAGGGACCTGTGGTGCTGTCCCAGAAGCACAAAGAGGATGGAGAGGCCCTGTCACATCTGCTAGCTGACTTGACAGAGGAATGAGCTCACCTGGCAGGGAATACGAGCCATTTTGGCGTGGCCTCTGCACCATTTCACACTGCCCGATTGAGCTGCTGCCCTCACCCTGTCTTGTGGATGAAGCAGGCCAGAAATCACTGCTTTATAAACAAATTCCCAAGGGGGCCAGCAGGAGCTATGCTTGGGTAAGCAAGTGATCATGAACTTTCTGATCACACACAATGGCATCTTATAACCCTGAGCAAAAAACCCCCAAAATAGTAATCATAGAACACATACTTCACATTCCACTAAGGGCTTCAATGTATAGATTTCTGAACAGAAACTCCCAGGTCTCCCCGGAGGTGCAAGGAGATGGGCGAAGACAGATGTGCGCTCACTGTATCTGACACTCCTGGTCCTACCACTGCAATCCCTATGTCCACTGAAGCCTTTTCTTAGATGATGTTGAAAGGACCCAGAAAATTGTCTCCTACTCCTTTGTGCCGCAATGAAGCGATGCATGGTGTCCGTCCACGCATCCTCCAAGGAAACCCAGACTAACAAGCTTCAAGGCACAGCCAGCAAGACCATGTGAGAGGTGAGCTCAGCTACAGCTGGGATGAGGGCCCCAACATGAGGCTCCACTCTCCGTCCTCTGTGATCCCACGTGGTACTTCTGGGTGGGAGAACTTGGTATCTGCAGTGCACTGCTGGCGTTAGCCGGACTTCATGACAGGGCGAGGGTTCATGGTAACTGCAGAGGGAAGGAGCTCACTCCTAGGCACGGTTGGTAACACAAAAATGAAGGTAACTTTTAAAAATCATGTTTCAACTGTCAAGGTTCAAGTGCCCACTCTGCAACTAACACCTAGCCTTGGATTCACACAGTCTATGCGACATTTTAGTAATTCCGCACTACTGTTTGTGGTCAAATGGCCAGTCTGGGTGTTGACCTCTGAAAAGAGTTCGCTCTGAAGATTTCTCACCAACACTGAGAGGAACGTCACACACTGTTAATGA